AAAAAAAAACCCTAAATTGAAAAATCCCTAAATTAAAATCCCTATTTGGTCACCAATCTAGATGTTAATTGAATAATTATCCACAAATGTGGATTTCATTTAGGGATGAATTCAGGGAACCGGATTTGTGGTAAATGATAACCTACCGAAGAGATGCTTGAATAAGGTGATCATTGATTATGATGAAGCCGATCTTTGATAGAAATTATTACATATAAGTTATACCTTTTATGACATTATGCTATTTGAGATACGAAAACAATAAGGTTATTGCCTCTTATCGATGGAAATACTTTTATGGTTTGAATGAAAGATGCATTAAAAATTTTGTTGAACCTAATGCATTGTTTTTGAAGATTTAATTGAGAAACGACATATTTGATTGAATATCATAACGCTAATTACATCGTTGATTATCAGTTTTTTGTATTCGTTCTATTCTCTCTTTTACGTCTGTTTTTTTGTTTTGTCACACCATACAATGAAATGAAAATAAAAGTACAATTTTTCTTTTTGACGTCTTATAGTCTATCAGTACACCTACTCTGACAAACAATTGAAAATAAATTACGATAAGAGAAAAAAAAAGCAGAACTATAAAAATGATCACATGAAAAAAAACGTGTAAAGGTAAAAAGCTAATGCACAGTCAGATAAATCGGTGCGTATTACTGATAAAAGACGAAAAAGAAAAAATCTATTAGATGGTGTAATCAACAGTAGGACATATTGCATGTAACTACCATCAGTTGCCACAAACCGTACTCAATTAATCTCATCAATCTAATTAACAAAGCTCGACTAGTAGAGCAAAGAAAGAAAACGCTGAATTTTTTGTTCAAAATTGATTTTGAGAAAAAAATCGAAATAAAGTTGAATTTTGCTTTTCTGAGGTATAGTCCTCTTTTAGGTTATCGTTTGTAGCACATCTAATATACATATATAGAATTGTTTTGGACAAATTATCGATTAGAGATATGCGGATTTCGACCAGATCAAATGCAAAAGTGGAAAAAATTCTTGGAAAAACAATCGAAAGAAATTTATTGAGATAGTAGATCTCAAAAATCGATTTTTTCGAGCTCAAAATGCCGTCAAAAAAGTTTTGTGTTTGTGCAGATTGGTAGAGAAAACTCCAAAGTATATTTTTAGCACTGAAAGACTCTAAACCGAAAACATTTTTCTGCCAGAAAGGCTGGAAATGTTCTTAAACTAATTGACAAGGGTGTGGGTGTGGGGGTGTATTGATGAAAGAATCAACACCCACACCCACATCCACACCCTTATTTGGCTTTTCGTTAGCATGGATTCGTGAGTAGAAGTATACAGAATGTACGAAAAATAGCAAGCCAAAAAGAAACTCAATATTTCCACTCGGGACTCATCAATCAGACTGGTTTTTTCTCAACGATAAAGTAAATTCCAAAGTAATTTCTAAAAAGAAAATTGTTAACAGATTCCACTTTGAAATATCATCATTGACTTAAATGAAGAAATGTTATTTTTTTGTCAATTTAGAACAAAATACTTGTAAAGAAAAATGCTCAATTAGAAGATTACTAGGCTATGAAAATCTTCAGAGAACTTGCATTCTTCTTGAATTTTAATCGAAACATTATTTTTCTAACGAACGCTTCCATTTCAGATCCTTTGTCCAGTGAAATCTTAATTTCAAGTTTTCATCTGAAAATTTGTTCCTATTAAGGTTTCAAGTTAACTAGCTTGCTGGCAGAATTTCAGAATTTTTTGGAACTTAAATGCTGACCAAGTTCCAGGTGAAAGTTTGAAATCAAGATTTTTTACTGAAAAACAGAGTGCGTAATGGAAAAAATTCAATAAATACTCAATATCTTCGTTAAAAATCAAAAAGATTACAGATTCTCTGAAAGGTTATTATATAGTCTAGTGGTCCCCTAATATTAGGGCACGGTTATGATCAAAAGTTTTCAATCATATGAACATTCTTCTTTGAAAGTATTTTGTCCAGAAATAAGAAAAAAAACGAATGTTTCTATATTAGAGTTAATTTCAGAAGTTCAAAGTGGAATCTATTGACAGTTTCCTTTTACGAGAATACTTTGGGATGCGTTCTATCATCAAAAAAGCGAAATAGCCTGATTTATGAAATCGTTCAGCGTAATCTCTATAATATTAGAATGGGAAGCATGAATGAGTCACTTCATTTGTACATAAGATCCTCTCTTTGTTGATCACGGTCCGTGATGCGATTGTATTTCACCAAAGCAACGTCAAAAAATATTGAATTTTTTCACATTTCAGTTTTATTTTTTTCTAGTAATTATTACGTATTTCTTTCATCTGTAGCTACTTTTCAATCAACTCAATCGATTGTCTTGTATTTACCTAAATTGAAGAGTCTCTGCGTGACGGTAACATATGAAATATGTCGTCTAGTCCAAGCTGCACCTGATCTTGAGCATCTAAAAATCAGTTTCCTTTGTTTAAATATGGCACTCAACGATACGCCTACGTGTGAATTATTACAAAAGCAAATTGTACATCTTGAAATTACCGATTTTCAAGAATGTGCCTCTATTCCATTAGGTGTCATTGCACAAAAGTTTAATCGTCTTCATGATCTTAGTCTGTTCTTGGAAAGTCCAACAGTTTTGGTCGATTCACTTATTCTACAAGTGCTTTCATTGTGGAGAGATAAGTACGTTCGAGGATACTACATCAAAGGTTCGCTAATAGATGAAATAAGTAAAAATCTTCGTCAATGGCTTATCGATCATAATCATTTACGACAAGAAGATTCATTCATTGCTGAATACGACAAAAATTGGACTGATATATGGCTTGAATGAACGTATTGCATCGAAAGTCGTTGTCCGGTTTCAAACGACAAAATCTTATTGACGATCCAACAAAAAAAAATAAACTTATTCCATATCACATTGTCGAAGGTTTTCTTCTTTCATTTCTTTAGACATTTTCATATTTTCTTTGTTTCCGAATCATTCATATTTTTCGCATAAAACGTTTTCTTTCGTAAGAAACTTCATGGTTGAATAATGTGCGATTATGATCTAACGAATTCGAAGAGCTGCGAACATTTTTGTTAATAATATCTATTGAATTGGATGAGAACTTTTAAATAGCAAACGGGTGGGTGGAGTGAGTGTGGATCTGAGTGTGGATGGCGGGTGTAGATGTGGGCCAGGCTAATAGCAACACCCACACCCTATGCAAATAAGATGCGCCCACAACCGAACCCACCGACACCCACACCTTCGCCAGCATCCTACCTACATCACCCACATACAGCATAGTGTATAAGGAGAAAATTCAGTTTTCAATTTTGATTTCAATTAAAACTGACTGCCTTCATCTTTCTTTTCGTTCAGAATATGAGAATATCTTTAGAAAAATGGAAGTACACAAAGTGCTCATGGGAGTCCTTTTTTTCCGTTGCTACCAGGGGGAAAATGGTGCTTTTTTTAAATCGCTGAAATACAGTACTGCAATGCATTACAACACTCAATCCCTTTCTTTTTCGTTCCTTGTTTACAATTCAACTTTGATTTGCGACTGTGTGGAATTCGCCATTAAATGTCAATAAACAGAAGCACATTTGGCGTCGCGAAAAAATTCAAAAAAATGATCCTTGCTGCATCAAGAGAAAAAATTATTTCTGCTTGAATTAAAACAAACTCTCTTCATTTTTCTTTTCTTACCAAGTGGCAAATAAATTCAACATGAGTGACAAAAAAAACAAATGAAATACTTTCTGCATCCACAATGGATACTACAACACAGGCAACGCCATCATCGAGCATCATGGAACCAACACAATGTATGACTAGAAGCTATGTCATTGTCTGGATCGATGAGAATATTGACCTAAACAGTGACAAATATCAAAATACACTTACGCAGCTGCAAAACATGACCGATGAGGTATATATTTTCGAGCAACCGGATGAAGGTGTAGATTTTCTCACTGACATCAATGATCAAAAGGCATTCCTTATTCTGTCGAATCCTAAGCATCAAGATATGATACCTATCATCCATGATATTTCTCCGCTTGAGAGTGTTTACATCTTCTGCAGCAGAGAAGCCCTAATGAACGATTGGAATAAAAATTTGAGCAAAATTAAAGGTATTTACATAGATGCTACGCGTCTCTGTAAAGCACTGCATGATGCCATCCAACAAAGCTACCAGAATGAAATCGCAATGAGTTTCATCAACGCCAATCAAGGTAGTTCAGAAATAAGCCTAGATCAACTGGAACCATCATTCATGTACACACAATTGTTTAAAGAAATTGTGCTCGAAATCAATCACAGTAAAGAAGACATCAAAGATTTTATTCATTTTTTGCGTAACAAATATAACGATAATAAGACAACATTGAACACCATCAAAGAGTTCGAGAAGGAATACAGTCCTGAAAGGTCCATTTCGTGGTATATTCATGCACCTTTCATCTACCGGACTCTCAATTGGTCACTCAGAACACTGGATACTCAAACAATGAAGAAAATGAGCTTCTTCATTT